AATATATAACCAGGTTCTAGGGAGAAGAATTATAACCAAATTTATCTTTTAAAATATATTTATTGACTAGTGGGTTGCATGGCATCGTGCCTTAATGCAAATTGCTAGAACTTCCCTTACCGTAATTGAAAATCTTGGTACTGAACCCAAAAAAAAATTACACAAAATGTGTAGGTTCACATTATTAAAATCTCTATAAAATATCTGATAATTTGATGTACATATGTCCACTAAAAATTTTTACCGCCAAATGATATTTTTTCAACTTAATTTTATTGAGAGTCCATAACCGGTGGACATGCCTTCCCAAAATTTAAAGTTGTTCATCTTGTAAATACACGTAAAATGTTTTTTGAATTATTAAAATCGGACGCTTCGTTCACTTAAAAACTGAGTTACCCTTTTTGCCCCGTGTCTTCGGAATGGCTAGACCTGCCTTTGCTAAAAACTAAACAGCACAACTCCTTAACAATACGAATCGAATGTTTTTTTGAATGATTCAAATCGGTTGATCGGTTTTCTCGAAATAGTGGACGAAAATTTGTATCCGCACACACACACATACACACGTACACACACACATACACACATACATACACGCACACATACATCCATTTTTCTAAGGTATGCCAAAATGTTCAAAAACTTTTGAAACGTAAAGATATAAAAATTTTCATTTTCGATTTTTTGTGATTACTACAACTTACCCTACGGGAAATTAACAAATAACATAAAATTCTAACATAAACTGAACAATATTAATGCGAACCTTATCCCTGCACATTTTTGCAATATCCGGGGTATAATTTGTAACACGCAAGATTCTGAATGTTTAGTTGTTAAACGACTTCTTTGTGAACTCAAAATATGTTTCATGTGAGAAAAAATTTGTTTACAGAGATATGTGGAACCAAAAGTTGAAAGGAGAGCGCATGCAATTTTCTTTAAACAATTAAATATTTCCGGCAAAGTCATCCAACAATTTAATTTTCCATAGAGTCATCTTCCTGATTTTTTCGTCATTCCTTAATTTTCCATAATTCTGAAGATATTAGTTCGGTAATTACCATTTCAAAATCATCAACATTCATCCCCTCGAAAATTGAAAAATCAAACGGTATATTGATGGATCTATGAAATCTGGTTTTATGAGGAAGGAAAATATAGGCCCATAAGCTTCAAAGTCTTTGCATCTGGAAAATTTATCTTTAAGAGCTTCAACGTAGGTTGAATTACATTAGCGAGCTATATTAGATGAATAATTATAATTGAATATTTTTTTGTTATTTAAAAATCACTTCGTCTCGATATATTTGCGATTTCCCTGATTACTTTGTAGAGTGCCATTCAGAATCCCATCGCCTGGCACGCGTGCCATAGGTTGCCGATGCCTGCTATATACTATATATATACTCTTTAAATGGCTGTGACTCAAAAACTATTTAAGATAATATCGATTTAAAATTTTGGTATGTTATTTTAAAGGTATAACCTATCAAAATATGAAAAAAATTAAAATTCGATTTTTGGAAAATTTCACACTAGTTGTGCCCCTTAAAATGTTCTATCACAATATTTCATTTTTTAAGACAATATACTGGGTGTAAATGCATTTAAGATATTATCTCCTATGACATATCTCTTTTTTATTTTTTGACATTTTATTTAAAATTGTATGGCCATTTTTTTCAATCTTCGAGTAGGAGATTCTTTTATCATTTCATTAATAGTTTTTATTTTGAAGTCTTTATTTAGAGTGCCATTTGTAATATACCAGGGTGCGTTCACAATGCATCTTAAAATTTTGGATTGCGCTCTTTGTATTATTTGTATATCGT